ACCTACAGAACAGAAGACAATTTTTGCAATCGATCCATCTGACAAAGGGCTAATATCCAGAATCTACAAGGAACATAAACAAATTTACAAGAAAAAAACAACCCCACCAGAAAGTGAGGGAAGCATATGAACAGACACTTCTCAAAAGAAGACATTTATGCAGCCAACAAACATGAAGAAAAGCTCATCATCACTGGTCATTAGAGAAATGCAAATCAAACCACAATGAGATACCATCTCATGCCAGTTAGAATGGTGATCATTAAAAAGTCAGGAAACAGCAGATGCTGGAGAGAATGTGGAGAAATAGGAACGCTTTTACACTGTTGGTGGGAGTGTAAATTAGTTCAACCATTGTGGGAGACAGTGTGGCAATTCCTCAAGGATCTAGAACTAGAAATACCATTTGACCCAGCAATCCCATTACTGGGTATATACCCAAAGTATTATAAGTCATTCTACTACAAAGACACATGCATACATATGTTTATTGCAGCACTATTCACAATAGCAAAGACTTGGAACCAAAATGCCCATCAATCTTAGGCTGGATAAAGAAAATGTGGCACATATACACCATGGAATACTACGCAACCATAAAAAAGAATGAGTTCATGTCCTTTGCAGGGACATGGATAAAGCTGGAAACCATCATTCTCAGCAAACTAACACAGGAACAGAAAACCAAACACTGCATGTTCTCACTCATAAGTGGGAGTTTAACAATGAGAACACATGGGCACAGGGAGGGGAACATCACACAGCAGGGCCTGTTGGGGTATGGAGGCAAGGAGAGGGATAGAATTAGGAGAAATATCTAATGCAGATTACGCGTTGATGGGTGCAGCAAACCACCATGGCACATGTATACCTATGTAACAAACCTGCACGTTCTGCACATGTATCCCAGAACTTAAAGTGTAATAAAAAATAAATAAATAAAGTAATACTGCAAAAAAAAAAAAAAAAAAAAAAAAAGGTTAGTTCATCTTACCTTTCAGCTGCTCCATTATTCTACACCCCTACCTAGACACAACTCTCAATGGCTCAGTGATTTATTCAGTGCTCTAGATTAAGGACTGCCAAACTCTAGGACGCAGGCCAAAGTCAGCCACCTGTTTTTCTAAATAACATTCTCTTGGAACAGAGTCATGCTTATTCATATATGTATTGCCTATGCCTTTTTTCATACTACAATGGGAGAACTGAGTAGTTTCAACAGAGAATATGCAGGCCCCAAAGACTAAAATATTTACTATCAGGTCCTTTATAGATAAAATTTGCCAACCCTTGCTCTAGATGTGGGCCTGAGTTCCAACTTATTTATTCACCTATCCTAAGTTTCACTTTCATCTTATTAATCTTTATGTAATCTTTACAAACTAAAACCCATTCTTCTTAAGAAAGATAAAGCAAAATAGGAGTTGAGGCCAGTGATAGATGGCATCATATTATCTCTTGCCATTCCTCTGGATCAGATACCCAGAGTCTTACTCTGATTAATCTCCTTGCTTCTCATCTCATCACCCATCACATCCTCTCCAATCCATCTTCAAGGCTGAACCCAGAAAGACAGTCTTCTTAATAGGCAAATCCAATTTAACTACCTTAAACTCTTCAAGGGTTTCTCCTACTATGTCCAAGACAAAAATCTAAACTCCTTATTATGATATAAAATGCCCTAGCCCTTGCCTGTCCTTGCCTGTCAGACATACTTGTCTCCCTCTATGCCCCTCAGCCATGTACATTCAATGCTTAGCCATTTTAAACTGCTGTCAGCTGCTATATTCTCTCAGCTTCCTTCTGTATTTTGCATGCCTTTATTCTCCATAAATACATTCTCCTTCTTCTTTACCACTCTTAAAGTCTTGAGTCAGTCATTTTCTCCTTTGGAACTCTTTTATTTTTCAGGTAGACTTGGGATTGCTTTGCTCTTTGACATCACTTTGCCCTGAGTATAAGTGTGTTGACACAAACATATATCTCTATTGATCCATCTAGTAATCTCATCTCTCTAGATTGCCATTTTGCATTGTAATCCGGCTGCATGGTTGCCTCTGCAGATGACTGCAAGTAACTTTAGAGCATAAACTGTGATTTTGCTCTTTTCATCTATATTGTCTAATATATATCCTAGTACAGAAACTCCTGAGTTCAAGATACCTAAGCGTCTCAGGGACTTTTTCCCAGTGCCTCTAGGCCAAAAGAAATATGTGACAACTCTGTTTACTAAATAGTTAGGTCCAAACAATTTAGTATGTATTCATGGTCTAGCAATTTAGTAGCAATTAAAAAATAATATATGTAAATAGAAAGAAAAAATTTTATATCATTTTTAAATAACCACAGCTACTTATCAATGGAATGTGTAGAACCAGGAGGATGTTATACAACTTCTCAAACAGAGAATCACATTGGACACTGCCACCCTCATTTCCTGTTCCACACTGATTTTGGCAAGGTATTTATTTTTATTACAACAACTACTGAAAATTCAGCTTTTCAAAGATAGGATGTGATTGAAAGAAATATAGTGTGAACTAATGTTGAAATGGTAAACCGTTTGAGCTAATTTGCTCACAGTCTCACAAATGTCAAATCTCACTATGTTTCCCTTGGAAGTTAAAAATATTCACTCCCTATGAGTTCACTGCAGCATCCTCTGCATGCAGTTTAGGAACCACTGCCCCAATGCACAGAAGTTCATTAAATATTTGTGTAATCCACCACAGTAAGAATGTTTATATGGTAATTTACACAAAAATTCAATTAAGATATTGTTTCTTAAAAAGCAAAAATAGTTACTGGCATCAGCAAACTTTTTCAGCCAGATAATAAATATTTTGGGCTTGTAGGCCATATAGTATCCATAGCAACTACTTGACTCTGCCGTTGCAGCATCAAAGCAGACATAGATAATACATAAATGAATGGGCATCACTGTGTTCCAATACAACTTTATTTACAAAAACAGGTAGCCAGCTCATAGGCTGTTTGCTGACATTTGTTATAAAAAGTCCTTTAAAAAGGTACAGCTTCCACATTAAAATTACTAAAAAGTTATAAACAAAAGGTGAGACTAAATACCATAAGTCCATATAGATATGAATGAATGAATAAATTTAAATTTTTATGAGGAATGGGATTACAAAGGGAAAAAGAGAAACTTCACAAAGAAAAGTTTGATAGAAATCTTCCTAAAGTAAGCATCCTCAATAAAGAGATAAATATGAGTAACATGTTGTAAAACATGCTGGTCTAAGATGCAATGAGAAGAATACAAAATCACTAATATGATATTAATGCCAAAAACCTATAAGTAAAAATTAATCATGAGGAAACATCAAAAAATCTGAATTGAGGGTCATTCTACAAAAAAACTGACCTGTAATCTTCATAAATATCAGTCATGAAAATCAAAGAAAGAATGAGAAATAGTTCCAGAAAAATGATGACTTTAGAGACATGACAACAAAATTCATCTATAATGCAATGTATAATTCTAAATTGCATCTTTATGCTATAAAGAACAATATTGATATAACTAGTAAAAGTTGAATGTGGTGTGAGAATTAGATGTTAGTAATCTGTAGGTGCCAGGCAAGAAAGAAGAATGGTTTCTGCCCTTAAAGACTATATATTGTTTGGGTAGACAAGACTGACAAATAAATTCACTATGAGGAACATACCACATAATTAAGTACTAATTTATATAAATGAGCTAGCTCTAAATCTTATCCCACTCATCTCAACCTCATTAGAAAGAGCAATTTAAGAAGTAGCAAAGATGCTTAACTAAGAAAGACATGGCGATAAGGGTAAAGAGTTACCACAAAAGTATGAAACAGTGTTGACACTATAGAGCCGAATTAACTAAGAGGACAAAGAACCATAGCTCCACCATGGAATAGAGAGAGAGGCAGAACCCTAGAAGACCTCTGGTATCCATCAATTCATCCACACTTTTAGCTATTAGCTAGCCAACTTAGAGGTCCACAGTATTGCTGAGGCATAAATGAAAACTGCACACATTGTGATCCTAATATACAAAGAAATAGGTCAGTTGGCAACTGCATAAACCTAGGTGATCATCAGAATTCACATGAAAAACAGCAGTTCAGAAGAGAGAAAATAGGTAGAGGCTTAGGATATTTTTCTAGGTCAGAGACTATCGAACTGAGATTATTAAAATGCATTTTCTAATAACAAATAAACCTGGTCAAAGAAACAAAGTTAAATAAGTTTATTTAATTACAGAACTTCTTGGAGCCTATAATATGCTAATACACATTGTACACCTAAAAAGAGGGGGATATTGTGCACAGCATTCCACTTAGATCAGAAACCATATTAAAACACCTAAGTGTAGAAAATATCTTAACATGGAGATACAATGAATAAAAAGAGGTAGCTACTTTGGGAGGTATAACATCAACAATAACAACTACATACAAATGCCTCCTAAAAGCCTCGCAGTCTAAGGTGTAGTACCTTATTTTTTAAGGTGTAGTAGTACTTTATTTTATCTTCACGACAACCCTATGACATAATTCTGATCCCCATTTTACTTTGAGTAAAATGAGGTATACAAAGGTTAAACACGTTGCCAAAGGCCTATGGCTAGAAAGCAGTCAAGCCAGAATTCAGATGCAGGCAATCTGGCTCCAGTGTCCATGCTCTTAACCACTACGCGTTGTAACTTAACAAAATTCTCACTCATTCATTTCAAAATAAATTATTAGTTGGATATTAAGCAAGAATGAAAAATAAACATGATGATTAATTTAAACAGAAGGCTAGGAATTTTTAAAGTCCTTTTCAATTAAACTGGGGATGGGGTCAGGCAGTAAAAACTACATAACTGCAATTATGAAGTATACAATCATGATACCCCATAGTTCAGTAAAATTAAGAAGCATTTCAGGCAAAGAATATGCCCCCCAATTTCCTAATCCACGCTAAGGACAACAACATGGTGAACACTTTGGAAGGGTTCTCACCGTGATTCTCTTCATATCTAGCTGGCGCAGCTGCATCATATTCTGAAGGACAGTGTGTTTGTACCATGACTCTTGAGCTATGGGATTGCCATCAAAGGTGATGTCAGAGAGGGAAGAAGAGTCAGCAAGGCAAGAAACACTGTCAAAACTGCAGGAGAGACAGAAACCACTGATTATTCTGAGGTCTTAAAATGATGCTTTCATTTTTAATAGACTTTATTTTTAGGACAGTTTTAGATTTACAGAAAAATTAAGAAGCTAGTACAGAGAGTTCTCATATACCCCAAACCCAGTTTCCCCTATTGTTAACATCTTGTGTTAGTATAGTACATTTGTTACAATTAATCAACCAATATAAACATATTCTTAGTAGCTAAAGCCCCTATTTTATCCAGGTTTCCCTTAGTTTTTATCTAATGTCCTTTTTCTGTTCCAGGATCCCATGGAGGATATCATATTACATTTAGTTGTCATACCTCCTGAGGCTCTCTTGGCTGTGTCAATTTCTCAGACTTGCCTTGTTTTTGATGACTTGACAGTTTCGAGGAATACTCATCAGTTATTTTGTAGGATGACCCTCTATTAGGATTTGTCTGATATTTTTCTCATGATTAGATGGGGGTTAAGATAACTCCTTTTTTTTTTTCTTTGAGACCAGGTCTCACTCTGTCATCCAGGCTGGGTTTCAGTGGTGCAATCATAGCTCATCCTAACCTCAAACTCTTGGGCTCAAGCAATCCTCCCACCTGAGCAACCCAAGTAGTTGGAACTACAGGTGTGTACCATCATGCGTGGCTAATGTTTTACTTTTTATTTTGTCTACAAAATGAAAAGGGTCTCACAATGTTGCCCAGGCTGGTCTTGAACTCCTTGGCCCCCCAAAGTGCTGGAATTAACAGGCATGACCACTATGACCAGTTGGTATATATTATTAATATGACTTATTACTGTTGATGTTGACCCTCATCAACATGTTCAAGGCTGAGGCTGAGATTATGTTCTTCAGGTTTCTCCAATGTAAAGTTACCATTGCATCTTCTCCTTTTCATACTTAACTATTTGTAAGGAAGTCACCATGTGCAGCCCACACTTAGGGAGTGGGAAGTTAAGCTCCTCCTCCTTGAGGACAGAGAGTCTGAACTCATGTATATTTATTTTATGCTTTGGGTTATTATCCAATACAATTTTACTATTTTCTTGTTCAAATTGTTCCAGCTTTGGCCATTGGAAGCTCTTGCAATTGGCTCCTATGCCCCTTTGGCTCCCATTGATGTGGATTTTTTTTTTCTTTTTCTGAGCACTTTCTTACTTTCTGGCACTACAAGATTTTGACTCAAGTGTTTTCTAGACTAATTCCTGCCATGGTCCTAGTATCAGCCATTTCTGAGGAGCCATAGTTCATTTTATTGGAAGCTAGTATTAGAAACAAAGATCTGGGGGCTAAGTGTACTTCTTGCTACTGAGGGGTCATTTCCTTTAGTCCCTCTCAGCTGACACAGCAAAAAAATATATGTGTGTACAGAAACCTGTGTATATGCATATATCTATAACTATTTCTCTAAGTAACCATCTGTGCCATCTGTGTCTATATTAAGCTAAAGATGAGTTCATACTGATGTTTCCAGCTCTAATCCATCACCAAATGAACCATTCCAGCCTCTTTCCCTTGCTTATCTGAAAGTTTCTACTTCAACAAGAAGTTTGGCTTCAAACCATCAACTCTCCATTTACTTAATTATTCAATTCCAGTATGTATGTATAGAGGTATCAGAATTTTTAATGTGTACCCCCAACGAGAAACAACTTTATCAACTAAAGTACAATGATTAGGTGTAATTGCTTTTGCATTTAGTCTTACAGGCTCATTTCCAAAGTTTCTTAGGTCAGTGCCTTTTCCCCCACCCCTTTAGGGAGGTTGTTTCATATATTTGTAATGCAGTTAGATTCTCTTGTCAGTCTGCATTCCTTTCTGAGATCCTCTAAACTCCTAAGTGATTTTTAAAAATTTGCATATATTAAGACTTACTTTTTATTATGTAAATTTCTACAGGCTTTGACAAATGCATAATGTCATGTATCCACCATTAAAGTATCTTAGAGGGGGCGGAGCAAGATGGCTGAATAGGAACAGCTCCAGTCTCCAGCTCCCAGCGTGAGAGACACAGAAGACAGGTGATTTCTGCATTATCAACTGAGGTACTGGGTTCATCTCACTGGGGAGTGCCGGACAATCGGTGCTGGTCAGCTGTTGCAGCCCGACCAGCGAGAGCTGAAGCAGGGCGAGGCATCACCTCACCTGGGAAGCACAAGGGGGAAGGGAATCCCTTTTCCTAGCCAGGGGAACTGAGACACACAACACCTGGAAAATCAGGTAACTCCTACCCCAATACTGCGCTTAAAGCAAACAGGCACACCAGGAGATTATATCCTACACCTGGCCGGGAGAGTCCCATGCCCACGAAGCCTTACTCATTGCTAGAACAGCAGTCTGCAATCTAACCGCAAGGCAGCAGCGAGGCTGGGGGAGGGGCACCCACCATTGCTGAGGCTTAAGTAGCTAAACAAAGCCCTGGGAAGATGGAACTGGGTAGAGCTCACAGCAGTTCAAGGAGGCCTGCCAGTCTCTGTAGACTCCACCTCTGGGGACAGGACACAGCTAAACAACAACAACAACAACAACAAAAAGCAGCAGAAACCTCTGCAGACGCAAACGACTCTGTCTGACAGCTTTGAAGAGAGCGGTGGATCTCCTAACACATCAAATTGGATCATTTATACATCAGGTATAACATCCCAATGCAATCCCTCCCCCCTCCCCCTCCCCGTGATAAGCCCGGTTGTGATGTTCCCTTCTCGGTTCCAGTACTCATTCGTTCCAGCTTCCCACCTATGAAGATCGAGAACATGTCGGGGTTTCGCGTTTCTGTTCTGCGATAGCTTTGCCTGAGAATGATGCGTTTCCAGTTGCAATCCATCGTCTCCTAACAAAGACCCTAACAACTCATCCTTATTATTTATGGCTGCATAAGATTCCCATGGATGTTATATGTGCACCTTTTTTTAAATCATCCTGTCACCGAGATGGCAATTTGGGTTGATTCCAAGAATCCTTCCCTATTGTGGAAATAAGTGCGCATAAATCATATGTTTGCATGTGTCTTATAGCAAGACATAATTATATAATACATATACAATTATACATTTGAGGTATATACAACACAGTAATGGTGACATAGGTCATATAGGTACATAATCATAAGTTTAGATCATATGAGGAAATACAGCACATAAACTATGTATATTATCCAATAATGGATTAACTAGTTACATCCCACACACACGAAATGTAATAGTCTATATTTCTCCAACATACATCTCCAAGCACAGTGCATGTTTTCCTGACTTTTATATAGATTGCCCAATATCATAAACAGGTGGATAGAGATGAAGTAATCTACATTGAGGTTTTGATATTGCATTTTCTGATGAGCCGATGAGTGAGCATTTTTTCATGTGCCTGCTGGACCTGTATGATGTCACTCTTAATTGAGAAATGGTCTGTTCTATCCTTTGCCCACAATATATGATGGGGTAGTTTGTTTTTTTCTTGATAAAATTCATGTTTGAGTTCTTATGTAGAGATTACTGGATATTAGCACCTATTGCTCCTGATGAAGATCAATTCCGCAAAACATTCTCCCATTCTGTAGGTTGCCAGTTTCACTCGTGATGGTAAGTTTCATTATGTGTGCAGAAGCTCATTTAAAGTTTAATTAGAACTCCATTTGTCAATTTTGGACTTTGTGTGCATTAGCTATTTGAGATGTTTTAACGACAGTGAAGTCCTTGCCCATGCCTATGTCCTGAATGGTAATACCTAGCGTTTATCTTCCTAGGGTTTTTAAATGGTATTAAAGGTCTAACATTAAGTCCCTCTAGATCCATCCTTGAATTAATTTTCCGTATCAGGAGTAAAGGAAAGGATCCAGATTTCACGCTTTCTACCTTTATGGCATACGCCAATTTTCCCAGCCCATTTACTTAAACATACGGGAATCCTTCCCCAATTTCTTGATTGTTTTCCTCAGGTTTACAACAAGATCAAGTGGGCTGTAGATGTGTTGGAATTATTCTGAGGGTATGTCCTGTTTTCCATTGTCCTATATCTCTGTTTTGGTAACCCAGTACCAATCGCCTGTTTTGGTTGCTGTAAGCCTTGCTAGTACTAGTTTGAGTCAGGTAGCATGATGCCTCCCAGCTTTGTCATCTTTTGCTTAGGATTGTCTTGGAGATGTGGGCTCTTTTTTGATTCCCATATGAACTCTTAAAGCAGTTTTTTCCAACTTCCCTGTGAGAAACTCATTAGTAAGCTTGAACGAGGATGTCGCATTGAATCTATCCACCTTACCTGGCAGTATGGCCATTTTCACGGATATTGATTTCTTCCTATCCATGAGCATGGTACGTTCTTCCATTTGTTTATGGGTCCTCTTTTATTATCACTGAGAATGTGGTTTGTAGTTCCCTTATGAAGAGGTCCTTTACATCCCTTGTAAGTTGATTATTTTCCTACTTATTTTAATTCCTACATATTCTTTTTCCGTAGATATTTTATTCTCCTTTGAACGCAATTGGATGAATGGAAGTTCTTTCATGTTTGCGCTCTTGTTCTTGTCTGTTACTGGTGTATAACCGATATGCTTGTGAATTTTGCACATTATCTTGTACATCCTGAGCTTTGCTGAAGCTTGCTTATCAGCTTAAGGAGATTTTTGGGGGCTGAGACAATTGGCGTTTTCTAAATATACCAATCATGTCCATCTGACAAAGAGGGACAATTTGACTTCTTCTTCTTCCCTAACTGAATACCTCTTGATTTCTTTCCTCTCTGCCTGATTTCCCCCTAAGCCAGACACTTCCACACAACTATGTTGAGTACGCGAGTGGCTGAGAGCAGCGCGCAT